TTCCCTACTTGTTTTCCTCCCTTCTTTTTCCTCCAAATCTTCAGGAATACTTGTGCTCAGTCACGTCAGACTCATATTTTTATTTTCTAAATTTTCTCTTTTTTTTCTGTGCACTTACCAGAGACAGACAGAGAGACATTAAAAGAGAGGGAGAAAGAACCCCCTCCATGACCATGGGGTATAGTCATACCACCACCATCCCTTCTCCTCCACCTTTCCATCCTGTAGGAAGCCTAGGCACGCACAAAGACACACCTGGCAGGTCCCTCAATCTGCCAGGGCCAGGACTCACATCACAGTTGGCCATGGGGAAACCGGCTTCCCTTAACCACGAGGTGACGGGCCAGCCCATGTCAGACTTTTTTAAGCCATGTCTCAGGTCACCCAAACCTTGCATTGGCTCCTCACTTTGTTACAAAGAGATGGTCATGAGAATGACCCTCCCAGCTAGAAGGGGTTGTTGAGGTCCCATCCATAACTATTTGACAAGTGGATAGGTCCAGAAGTAGCCATATCCTGACTCATTTCCGGTCTCTCCCTCCAAGTTCCACTCTCCCGTGTGGTTCCAGTCCCCGACTTAGGTCTTCGGGTATGTGTCTGTTGTCATAGCTGGCCAAGTTGGTTGGGGAAAGGGAAGAGAGAAACCGAATAATACTTGCTGTTTCATGAGAAAACCAGAAAAACTGTGAAAAGTTCAGCTAAAGCTCAGCATTTTTATTCTCCTCCCTTTGCTCCTTCGAATAGCAATACGCGGACGCATTTTACTGTGGAAAAGTATTGTTAAGCAATTAGGAACTAGAAAATGTGTTCGTCAGGAAGAAGCCTTCGTTGTAGAGAATTTACTATAACCAAATTAGAGTCACCTCTTACTAAGAAGAAAACAACTTTGTCACACAGACCCTGGGAATGTCTTTATTGCCACTGAAATAATATGACCGGTGACTAAGTGATTTAACCCTGGGAGAGCTGAATGACCAGAGACCTGGGTGCTTTGAGGGCTCATGTAGGAGACCACCCCCTCACTGGTCTGGGGCCATGCACATAAAGCCTCTCTCCCCACCACCCATGCCCCTCTGTCAGTGCTTCTTCTTCACCTTTTGTTCTGAGAGAGGTTTCCTTAATATAGCCATAGGCCTTGCTTGGTCTACTCCAACAGATTTTTTTTTTTTTGAGAGGTTTTTGCTATAGGGCCCATGCGCTCACCAGAAAGAAAGAGAAAGAGAGACAGAAAGTGAAAAATCACCCCCCAGGGGAGATGGCCACGCTGCAATCCCTTCTCCTCCTTTCTCCTCTCAGGATCTTGGGCACGCACGCACCCGGCGTGAGTTTAAGTCACCGGGTCCAGGACTCGAACCACGGCCGACCACATGGGAGTCCAGTGACACAGCCACTACACTAACTGCTGGTTCCACAACAGATTTTTAACAGGGAAGATGAAAGTAAAATTTATGGGGCTAGGGCCAGCAGGTGGTATGGTGGCTGAGGCAATGGACTCCCACACGGCCAACCACAGTTCAAGTCCCAGAGCTGATGGCTTGCTTTCTCACTTTCCCTTTCTCTTTGTGTCTCTCTCTCTGGTCAAACTGGTAAAGTAATAATAACAAATAACATTAAATTAAGAAAATATTTATGGGGCCAGCAAGTGGCGTAATGGTTAAGGCACCGGACTCCCATGTGACCAACAGTGGTTTGAGTTCGAAGCTTGGCAGCTGGAGATTCACACCGGGCACGTGTGCGTTGTGTGCCCAAAATCCTGAGAGGAGAATGAGGGAGAAGGGATTGTGGCGTGGCCATCCTACCAGAGGGGTGATTTCTTGCTTTCTGTGTGCATCTCTCTCTGTCTCTCTGGCAAGCACACATGCCCTATGCAAAAATCTCTAAAATGAAATGAATACATAAAATAAAACTTATATGGTTAAAGAGCTGGCAGGGGAAGAGGAGAGTAAAAAGAAATCTAATTTGATGACACTAGATCTAAGCAAATCCAAAGAACAATCTAATGCTTCACAACCATGTTTTGGATCGAGCTGACATAGAAAGGTTCCTCTCTAAACAGAACTGCTGAATGAAATATAATTCAAAAATATATCAGTTTGCCAAGACTAGAAGCTTAGAAAGGAAATCCCAGGTGCCAGATATGAAGTAGAGTCCACTCCACAAAGGGCCTCAAGAGAATAGGTGAGAAGTAAGCAGGAGTTCATGCTACTGAGCTCTCCGAGGTGTCAGGACTTGACAGAGGCCCTCAGGGCTGGGAGCACGGCTCTATCAGCAACAGATGATGGACCTCAGGCCTGTACAAGATCCAGCACTAGAATGGGGCTCTCGGCATAAAGCCAGATGCTGCAAACAGCTGCCATGCCACTAAAACTAGACAGAAAAACTCCAGCCACTGACCCAGGAAAGTGGCAAAGAAGCTTACCATCCACTCTAGGTCCTGAATCCCCACAAAAAGTGTGACTCCAGGCCTGAGCAATCAGAATCCACTACTTTTACGGTAAAGGAATCCCCAACTGAGAGACTAACAGGAAAACTAGTCTCAGTGAGTCCTGAAGGTTCATGGTAGCAGCAAACATGAAACTGCTCTAAAGGGATGCCATCAGGGTGTGATCCTAGAGGGAAAAACAACCTCTGATGAAGATGAGCTAATGAGAAAGGTATAAATCCTATTAGAAATAAACCGGGAAGGAACGTCAGCAAATCCAGCCCCCTGAAGGACCCACAACTCAAGACACAGAACAGAGTGATATGAAATACTTTGAAGCAAAAATAATTAAAACATCTGAGGAGAGCTGGGACTAGAAACCAAAGACTAGATAGGATACTATTAGGAAAAAAAAAAAAAAAAAACAGAGGTTCTGGGGGGAAAAAAAAGCATGAGAAACAGAAGGGTCCAATAAAGAACCAAATAAAAAATTGGAGATATGAAAAAAATGCCGTCACTGAAATTAAAAAGAAAAGTCATATATAGATTAAACTGCTGAAGAACAAAATAGTAAACTGGAAGAAGTCTTCTATTTTATAGATAAGAGAGGGAAAGAAAAGAGGTAGAGGGTCAGCCCCGTAGCCTCGTGGTTAAGCAGCTGGATCCCGCATGGCCGACAAGATTTGAATCCTGGTGTCTTGAGAAACACAGCAGGTGCATGTGCATGTGCACCCCAAATCCCCACAGGATGGAGATAAAGAGAGCTCTGAGACATACCCACACTCCACAGAGGGGGTGCTTTCCCCCTCTCTGTCTT